TAGCATCTCTAGTTTTTTTTGAAGTGTCTAGACTTCGTTAAATATATTACACTGCTTTACATCAATTAACTAGAATATAGCAATTTTGCATAGCTTTCTCCATAAATCAGTACCTAATTTCGATCCTTAGAGACGCAATAAAGCACGTTCTCGAATTAACCAATCTTTACCTCGTCTTGATCTCAAGTTAACATTAAACTGGAATAGATGTTCTAGAGTAAAACACTCACTACATGTTTTCTAATAGAGTAAAATTTTATTCTACAAATGTTGTGCAAGAGTATAGCAACACTTACGTGTTTGTCCATTGAAATTAATTAGAAGCCAACAATAGAAGAGGCAAATTCCATTAGTGCTTTAAAGCGCAAAATTTCCCCCTTTAACGTGACTTTGAATTCTTGATAGGGAAGCAAAGCGTCGACCCAACTATACCTGATTCCTTGCAGTCTGTTAAAAACACCTAGTCAGGATTACCAAACGTGTCTGGCAAAAGCAGCATTGTCCGATCAAGCTTTAGCTGGATATAAATTGGTAAAGTTTGAAACTGTTGACGTCACGGTTTCAAATGATTCATTGCCCTGGAAAACGTAATAGTTATCGGCCTGGTATAAATCTCTAAAGCAACGAGCAACATGAAGAGCTGACACACATTTTCTTTTAAAGTTTTCCACTTTAAATTGATTGATAAGGAGTGTTGGGGCAACATCTTCAAAAAATAACAAATTTTAAAGTTAAGGTAACTGTCGTCAGATGGTTGTGCCACTCTTATTAGTTGCTAAAGTGGGGTGCGAATGCAAATTAGGTGAGTGGGGTTTTCTGGAAAACTTGGGTGTTTTACCAGCCCAATTATTGATTTTTTACAAAGAAATTTGATCCGTTTGAGAATAAAAATGTTTACAAATTACTCGCCGAGTTTGTTTTTTGCCACCCGAATTCAGATCATATTTCAGGTAATAAGCTGTCGGCGGTGTAAGCAAACAGTTGTTGACACATTCGCCGTTGGAAGATGACAAATTTTCTTAATAAAAAATATTTATGCTGAGTTTTTGTCACAGAGAAAAAAGTAAACACATGACAGGTGATAAATTTTCTTTGAATTCTTCTTGAATAAAAATGGGTTTTAAACTGGAATTTAACGAAAAACTAATGATACAAATTTTCCTCGAAAAACTTGTTTTAACTTTAACTCGTATTTCATGGTGAAAAACCTACACTGAAATTAAAAAAACGCGAAAACAAGAAAATACTTTTAAGAGAAAACACCAATTCATCAAATCTTTAAGTGACTGTACCATTTATTTTCAGCTGTCAAAGTTTCTACATGAAAATGATGAAATGAAGAAGAAAAGAATATGTAAATGGATTTTCGTTGGGAATGTAACAAAATTGTCTGTCTTTTTAAGGTGAAAAACGTCTGGTGCTTAAATTTTAATGCAATCAACGCTGGTTTTATTGTTAGTTTAATAATGTCGTTAAATATGTTAATTTTCTACTTACTATTCTTAAACTCTGCTATACGAAATATTACATCTTTTTGCTTTTTATTAAACTTAGTGTTTGCATTTAAAGTTGTTTTTAAGGTCGTTAGAAGCAAAATTCAACATAATGCCTGAGTGTAACAGTTCTGTTTCCTGTTGAAACTCGAGCCGAATCTTGTTCATGTTTGTCTACAAATTATAAATAAACTCAACGTGTCTCTCAAGAACAAAAACTGTTGTTGAAAGACAAAGCAAATATGTATTTTCTTTGAACGCAACAAAAATAAGTCCAAATGTATGTTTAAAGTAGTAAAGGTACAAACTGAAAACGAAAAGAGAACGCTCTGAAAGGCATAGTGCACACATTCACATAAAGTACCAGAGGGTCCAACCTTCACCAGAAATGTTACTCTGTATAAAAACAGCTCATCTTAAAGTAGAATATATGTGACCTGAATACAAGAGAAAGCACGGAAAGTGTGAAACATCAAAGAATTTTCGAGTGCTCAGAGGGCATAAATTACAACACTGGCTATGTGACCAAGAACAGGTAAACACATTTATTCAGAAGCGTGCAAAATAAGGATATGTGTCTCTTGACACGGTTTTTTCAGAAAAAGCATAGTGACCCGCCTCAGGCCAACCGTTTATCTCCATTAAAACCTCGGCAAAGCTTTAAACATAAAACAACCTAAAACTTTTATAAAACCTTCAAAACATGACAGCAAACATTTTAGTTTTTATAAAATAATAATGCAAAAAATGTGAATAACAATAAATTAATTTAAGAACAGAACCTGTAATAATATATTTTTAAGTTTAAATAAAATATTCAATGTCCAAAAGTTTGTTTGTTTTCAAAGTACAAAGTCAAATAAATATTCCGCATATTGGAAATGCACTCAGAGTAATGAAAGTTTTCAATTCTTTCAATTTTGTAGGTCAAATCAAAGTTCTTGAAAAAGTGGCGCACGTTAACAAAAAATTAAATAGTTTTAATCTAATTTATCAATAATAAAATTATTTAGAACAACGACAAAGATTTTTGGTGCAAGGAAGTTTAATAAAAGTAAAATATTTTCTGAAAATTATTTCAAATGTATGTATAAATTAATTCAGAATTTGCTATTCTGAATGAAATTCTCGCAAAGCGAATTCTTTAACAAAATAATTGTGTAGCTTTATGAATTTGGCATGAACACGGGTCTGTAACCCAAAGGTGGTCACCTCGAGACAATAGTATTCCGTTTCCTCTTTCACTCTCCCACATATGTTAGTCAGTTGAGTATTTACACCGGAAACAGCGGCAGTTGCTCTGAATTAAAGGCCTAGAGACAGGCATACACCCAGTCATTTTAATTAATTTGTTGCCCACATCCCTTGTAGATAATTCAGTGGAGAGTTGGTTGCGGCTAAAACGCTATACATATTTGTAAAATTTATAGTGAAGGACATGCATTGCTAATTTGCTCGTCCTACTTGGACAACACAAAAGCGAATTTTAGAAATTCCTGTATGTTGCCAACAAACCGCTTTATTTGTATGCTAAATAATCTGATACATATGTAAAATTTCAGCGCAATATCACAAAAACAGCTCAACTGACACGTCAAATATCGAACAATACAGTGCAATCAGGGCAAATCATGGAACACTGTTTGGTAACGTGGTAATTATTTCGCATAATTTCCAAAAAGTTGGAAAATATCTCAACAAAGCTGACTTTTATTAGAGTAATTCGGGCGGTAATTACAGATTTACACTATTATTAACAAAGCAAATTAATACAAAGTGTTGGTGATGCAGACATAAATGTAAATTATTGGGTTTAAAGTGCCGCTCATGGAAAAAACAGTCCAGTATTTTCAACCAGCCCTGGCCTAGTTTCACAACATAAAGAGACGACAGCAACGGGAAGATAAAATCCGGAAATTTGGGTGTTTCCATGTAAAGAAAATGTAATGAAAAACTAAAGACGTTTTTTGGCTTATTGTCTTGCTTTTTGTCACGGATCATCTTCGTAGAAAATGTCTTCTACTGTTTAACAACCCAAGAAAAATATTTTATATTGTTTTAAAAATCTCGTAGTTACTTGAAATGTTAATGTCGTTTCAAATTATTTTAATAAACGTTTCTATAAAAATTTAAAAAATGCGGTCGAATGTAATATAGTGAACCAATTCATGACTTTTAGGATGAAGATAGTCAGATCCCGACTAAGTTCTAATAAAATCGTTTGAAGCGTCCATCAAAACAACCTAAAGCTGAAATGCTACGTAAGCCCATTTACGTCAATGCCGAAAAACATCGGCAGACTCTTTATGTCGGATATGCTACGAATCAATATTGGAAAAAAGTCTTTAAATTTTGCTGTTTCAACCACAAAATCCAATTTTCTGTTTCAGAAACTGCAACGGTTTTAATAAATTTTTCAGGCTCGTTCTTCGTTATTAATTAATTTGCATGACAAAAAAGAACATGACTTATTCTAGACAAAATAACAGAGCCTTGTCATGGTTAAAAATGTTAAATAAAAAACATGACACAGAGAACAATACATTATGAAAATTGTTTTCGCGTGACCGTATTGTGATGGATGAGTTAAATAAAGGTTTCGCAAACGGCGAGAGAATAGAAGGTATTTCGCACGTCAAACTATTTTAACTTATTTTGCTCCTTTTTACTGAAATTACTAGAATAATTAAATACCTGAATAAACGGCAAAAACTTTCAATTATCGAGCTGACACAAAATTCTAGGCGAAACGTAAAGAAAATTCAAATTATGTGCTCGAGTTTGATGCTTCATATAACGAAAATTTATTTCAAGCCGGTTTTATAACTTTTATCAAAAATGTGGCGGTATTTAATCCACTTGAAACACCTCTCTGTTAAAACACTAACCCGAAACCTGGAGGGCGTTAATAAAGTGGAAATTCTAGTTCAGATGTTTTATCGTGATGCAGCTGTTCATTTAGATCATTTTATATGTCTAGTGCATCCCGGCTTTGAGGATTTTCAGCAGCGTTAAACAACTCTATTGACCTAAATTTATGTGACATTTTTTATTATTCTATGTGAAAACTTACTTAATTCTAAACGAGCTTAAAATATGTGACAGTTTTCATTTTCTTCGTTTACAAAATAATTGTGGGGAGAAAATCGTGTATTTTGCACCTCACATCTGGTCACGCTCCCCATTTAAAGGGTGTGGTAGAACGATACGAAACACACCCTTTACGGACGCCCCACATGATTACCACTCATAGTCGAAACAGGGTTGAATAAATATATAGCTCCCTAGATACTTATCGATGGTCAAAGGTTGGATATAAAATAAAGTGTCTCTCAGACAAGAAGGGGTAATTTCTCCTATAAACAGTTTAAAGGGTCGGATTTTGTCAAGTTATTTAACTTGTGTGTAAGTGTGGAAATTTTTATGTTTACAAGCTGATTTCTTTTATTACCCTTTTAGCGTTTTCTTCAAGATTGCGATATTATAACAATTTCACGTCTGTTGCAGATTGCCAACTATAATGCTGTGAACTTGTGGCACATAATGGAGTTTCCTGCTGTCCTGCTGACACTCCTGCTGAGCAAAGCTGTAATTTCCTTAGGAGAAGATTGCACTACGTGAGTTTTGTCGTATAATTACAATAGTAAAGGTTGCGTTTCAATATTAAAAAATAACAAAGAACGCTATAATATATTCCATTTGAATTTGAATATTGGAATACCGCCGCAAACTCATTACATTGTTTGATTTTCCCTCATTATCAATTCTAAAAGTCTGCACAATGAAAGATGTAAATTTTCTGATTGCGTTAGAAGTACTTGCTCTGTATAATAATTAGATATTAGAGAATAGTAATTCCAGAAATCCGTTATGCATCTTGCAAAACTTAATTTTATTGTACGCTCGTCATCTCTATAGGTGGAGCGTAATTGAGAGAAAATTTCGGTTACAATGTCATTTAAACTTTTGCACTTTGATTAAAGGATTCAGTGCGCTTAATAACACATTTTGTGCGAGATGTGTTTGCCCGAATTTAATAATTACCTTGAAAAGGAACAAGTAACAAAGCTTAATAAAGCTTGCTTTTATTGGCCGTATTCCATAATTATTGTTCAATGCTTCATTTGGTCGGACTTTTATATGACAAGAGGATTTCTATGGTCAACTAAACACAAACGTGCTGCCATTCTGCACATAAATCAAGCCGATGCCACGCATGACCATGGAACAATACCACAATGAACCAATAGGTAAATAGATAGCTGAACTAAAACTAAAACGGATCCACTTTCAATCTGATAGACGACTAGTCAGCACACGCTGTTGGCCTCAAAACCGGCCATTATTCCTATTCATGCGATGCATCAAAATGCAAGAGAGTTACAAGCACATTGAAGATAGTCATTTAGATAAGTGGGGCTGCTACATGTATGTGTGCCAAGAAGAGCACCGAAGCATTTAGATTACCCTTACTCTTACTTAAATGTTCCGGAATGAAAGTCACTATAATAGCGCGAATTTACGATGGAATTTCTAATTCGGCGAACTTTAAAAAACGCAATTTTATCCACATTCGCAAGGTTTTATTTTTGGTTTAACCGACATTTTTATTCGGGTTGAGCAAAGTTATAACGTTATGGCGCATGCAAATATACTGCACCATGTGAGCGAGCGAATACGGAAACAAATTTCAGTGTGTAAATGCAAAAATGTGGCCAAGAAATGCTTATTTAAGTCACAATAAAATCGCAAACAACACTATTGAAATTTAATCGTTTGAGTAAAAATTGGCAAAAAAAAGCCAACGCTATTCACTTTGATTGGAAGCAACAATGAAAAACCAAAAATACCCAGTCCAGAAGGACACAAAAAATGAAGTTTTTTAATTAATTCAGCATTCATTTTGTTATAATATTTTTTTAATAAATAAAATTTTATAACTAGACTATTCGATTTTCTAAAAGTATAGCTCTTTTTTGACTGAATCTAAATTAATGTATCACGCTTTTCAAATACTAGATAATAAAAATTTGCTCTGATATAAAGTTGGCAGTGTAATAAATTGGAATGTTGTGTTTGAGAAACGAGATTTTACGAAAAAGTAACTAAAACTGCTAAGAAATATACAGGGTGTTTCACATAATATTAGGAGGCCTGCGCCTGTAAGATACAATCAATAATACATATTTCGATGCGAACTCGATTACAAATTTTGAAAAATTGGATAATCATCTCTAGTTTGTTTACCCTTTCAAAAATTACAACCTTTTTAATTAGTTAGTGATTAAGGTAGATAAACTAGAATCATATTCATGCCATTGTTTCTGAAAAACTGCAGTTTATGACTATTAATAAAACAAAGATTAGTTTGAAAACTACTGTCATGGGTTTCCAAAAATTAAATAATTAAATGTGTATTTTTTGTATCCTGTGATTTGTGACTTTTGTATATTTGAGTGCGTACATTAGGTGTAAGCCTCGTAAAGTTGTGTGAAACACTCTGTATAAACAAAATTTTGGTAGATTTGCCATTGAATTATACAGAGTTTCCCAGCGGGTTGAAAAGAATCCATTGGTGACCTTTAAATGGTAAAATTAAACAAAAAATATATAAGACATTAGATAGATAGATAGATACTAATCTAGTCCATCGCTTAAAATTATTTTCAACTATACAACGTGTCTCAAAAATAAAATACAATACAAACTTGTGTTTTTTTAAATGAAACACCGTATGTTTTCTAGCGTTTTTGGATGTAGATTTTTATGACAATGTTTTTAGGCTAAACTTCTAATGGTCGATTTTATTTTTTAGATAGAGAATTTATCAATCTATTAGATGCAAAAATAAAAAGTAAGGTGTTTCATTTAAATTTTTGAAGTTATTTAACTTTTAAAAAACTTCTTAATTTATTATTCTCTACAAATGCAAATCACTAAAAAATTGTTACAGCTTTAAGTTCTGTACTTTCTTGTTTGCAGAAGTAAGAAAAAATTTGTTCTAGCTGTCTTAGTTTTTGTGTTATAAATTTTCAAAAAGTGTATGTTTTCGTCAAAAAAACGTCTTATTACTAAAACTAAGCAAAATCGACTGATAAAAGTTTAGCGTAAAAACATTGTTTTGCATCTAAAAATGCAAGAAACATACGGTGTTTTATTTTTAAAAATACAAGTTTGTATCGTAACTTATTTTTGGGACATGTTGTATGGTTGAAAATAATTTTAGGTGATGCACTGGTTTGGTCCTATACAATTTTTTAAAATTTTACCATTTAAAAATCACTAATGGACTTTCTCAACTTGCTGGAACACCCTGTATAGTTCTCAATTTACATTTACAGATTATAGATATTTACTTTTTTTGCATAAACAAAATTCGCCAAACGTTTTATTTGTTAAAATATACGTTTAACGATAACAGTAAATATTTGGTTTTTATATAAATTTCCAACGACCGGTAAAAAATATAATTGTTGGTTATTAAAGGCAAAAGTATTATTTGGAATTTTTAAAACAAACTTTTTCTGGTTTAGGTGCGACGTTCATCATAATTAATTATTTGTTTACCCACAAGCATTTCCATCAAAGTTGTTGGTAAGCAAACATGTCGATGTTTGATTACACTGGTTGCTTCTTTTACTTGTCGCTAGCGGCGCTTTTCCACATTACCAAACTCATCTGCTCTCCCTGGCAACTTCCAACCTAACTAAATTATGAGTCGTGGTGTGTTTTATTTGCGGCACTCCTTAACGATGCGTTCATGTTTTATGTATCTCCAGACGGCAACGGCAGTGTACGGAGTGACCCTTAACAAGCACCCCGGAGTCGTAACATTGCAACTCGGGTTTCTACGACCCTTGCCTTGTAAAAAACATATAAATCGCATGCCTATCGCACCTTCCGACATCACTTCAGTAATAGAAAAATCCAATTTGGCCTTTCTTAATTTTTTCATGTTTTTTCCACTAACGGCCGCTGGCGGGATTATAACAGCGAGTTGTATCGTTTTTATGCAAAAAGCTAGATAAAATGAAGGAGTAAATTTGCAATTCTCGGCTTTCTAAAGACTAGTCTCTACAGGCTTGGATAATAATGTCCATATTTTGCGCAGTACGTTGTCATGGAGGGAATTACTAATCGCCATTTCATTCACTCTTAGTTAATGTAATTAAGTCTATTCATGAGACTTTACCGGATTACACAACTTTGTCGACAACGACCTTAATGAAAAATAGATACATCACAAAAATTAAATTACAGTTTCAAACACAGTTTCAGAAGTACAATCCATACAATTTTAATGTTATTGAACCAGCTCCTTTGTTGTTACCATAAAAACAAATATTCTAAACTTAACTTGAATAGTACTTTAATTGCATCACAATTTAAGTTTTATTATAACTAATTACTCCACCTGTTTTAATATGCGGTTTCTAATACATTTCTATAAAACAAATTTCAATACAATTATATTATAATTTTGTAAACTAGGTAAATTTCATAGATACCTCACTACTAACCACATTATTGTTAATTAAATTATTTATCTGTTACTGTTATTTAACTTTTAACAAACTTCTTAATTTATTAATCTTTACAAACGCAAAACACAAAAATTGCTACAGCTTTAAATTCTGTACTTTCTTGTTTGCAAAAGTAAGAAAAATTTTGTTCTAGTTGTCTTAGTTTTTGTGTAATGAATTTTTAAAAAGTGCATGTTTTTGTCAAAAACAACGTCTTATATCTAAAACTAATCGAAATCGACTGATAAAAATTTAGCGTAAAAACATTGTTTTAAAAGACAGTGTTTGTATCATAACTTATTTTTGGGACATGCTGTATAGTTGTTTTAATATGCAGTTTCTAATACATTTCTATAAAACAAATTTCAATACAATTTATATTATAATTTTGTAAACTAGGTAAATTTCATAGATACCTCACTACTAACCAAATTATTGTTAATTAAATTATTTATCTGTTACTGTTTAATTCAGGAATGCAACAAAATCAATACCACTTTTATCCCAGTCTTTGGAATCGTGAGAGACAATTTAATAAATTTGCCAGTCAGCACCACCAATTTTCACTTTAAGTTTTCCGGGCGTGCTGGTCATATTTTTACGTTTTTCTCTGAGACTACGACTTCATTACCGTCGTCTTCCAACGTAAGAGTCTGTTTAGAATATTAAATATTTTTTACTCGCTTATCTTAAAAAATATTTCGAAGAAGCTAACTGAATTTTAATACTTATCCATATTTAAATTTGACAAGTTGGTAAAATACATTTTTCAATATACTAGCTCATTTTTCATGCTTCTATTATTCAGTTTTATATGTGCTACCTGCGTTACATTTTTTTCAAACTCTATTCAACTGTCAGAGTTAAATCAAACCAACAAGAAGTGATGAAACTTCTAATAAACCAAAATTTTTACAAATCAAAGTAATTATACTCGTAGACCAATTTTATAATTAATTTTCGACCTAAAACTCAACTCAAAATTTTTTGTTTGGGTGCGGAAATGTCAACCAGGAGCTGACCCACGTCACCGTTAATGTTTAAAAGACGTTCTCAAAAAGTTTTGTCACTACACTAAAAATAACATTTTATTG